TTGTATCATTGTGTTATAATATATATATATATATATATATACATATATATATACATATATATATATATATATATATATATATATATATATATATATATATATATATATATATATATATATATATATATATATATATATATATATGTGTGTGTGTGTGTGAGCGTATATATTAACATGTATATATATATGTATGTATTTTATATACATATGTAGGTATGTATGTATGTATGTAAGTATGTATATTACATATGTATATATATATATATTTACATATGTATATATATATATAAATATATATATATATATATATGTGTGTGTGTTTGTATTTCTTTTTTTATTCATATATATTTTTGTGTATGTACGAATGTGTGTATGTATATAAATGTATATCTGTGTGTGTGTGTGTGTTCATATATATATATATCTATATATCTGTGTGTGTGTGTGTGTTCATATATATATATATATGTGTGTGTGTATGTATGTTTGTATATATATATATACATATATATATATATATAGTGTGGGTGCGTGCGCGTGTGCGTGTGAGTGTGTGTACGTGTTTGTTTTTGTGCATGTCAGCTTTGGCTGTCGTCGTACAGAAAGTTTAGCTTTTATTTGTTTTCAAGCTAGAACTGTCGTGTAGACTAATTTGGGTTGGCTGCTGTTGTAGTTCAGACTTGGAGCCAAATCGATTTGGTGTTTTATGAGAATGACCAAATGCTTTTGTTTTAAATTCTCATTGGCTCTTTCAATTACAGGGTTAGTTGATACGGTGGTCACTGCTCGTAGTGATCCATCAGTTGTCTGGGGCAAATACCAAGAACTTATACGATTGAGATCTACGGATGCAGAGGAAAATTGCCAGTTGTTGCGCGCACGGATAGAGGAGCTGCGGCAATGTAAGTTCATCCATTTAAGTTATCGTGTACTTCAGCACCATGCGCACGATCCATTTACACCATATCCTCAACGTATTTAAATGTTGGTCCCGACCGGCTGGCAATTTCTTAAATTGTACTTTTGTTGTATCGTTTTTCAATATCCAAGACTTACCCTATTTTATATTCTTCATAGCTCATCGGCGGGAGATCAAGAACTTGACAGAAGAGATCGAGCAAGCAAAGAAGGGTCAAGCTAGGAGTGATAGTGTAGCGAAATCAGAGGCTAACCTTGACGCCACATCGAAGACAGAGATAAAGAAGCTGAGGCTTCAGCTCGCGGAAGCACAAAAAAGCTCTCTCGCTCTGAAACTTGAGCTGAATGTTGCCCAGAAAGAACAGAAACAAGTCGCCGTTACTACCAAATCTGACCATAAAGACACCGTAAAATTGCACAAAGCAATTAAACGGAAGAATGAAGAACTGGACGACATAAGCCAGCAGATACAACTCATTGCAACCGAGAGTATGTCGGAGATTTATTGTCTGAACTTGGCCTGTTCTGAGGGATGCTGGTTTGTGCTTGCATGAATTTCACAAGAAATAGACAACACATCGATTTTGTGGCATCTAAATCCTACAAGGAGCGTTTAATCGTCCCTTTCGATTAGACTACCCTGTTGGTTTTCCATGAAATTTGTTTAGTATATAATAATTTGCTTTACTCCAAAATTTCAAAATACGAATATTCTTACTGAATTTAGCTACATAATTTGTCCTAAAAACGATTTGTAGGAGACGAATTACACAGCGAGCTTCTCGCGATGAAAGCCACCAATAAGAGCCTTTCTGCGAAATTGAAGAAAGCATCCGGATCCCAATCGCAAGATTTGATATCTGCTTTGGTGAGTCTTTTCTCTCATGTGTAGCTTGCTTGTCGAGCTCTACATACAGAGAAGTAGGTTGTTGTCAGTGATATATATGAGTGCGTTGCGTATCCACATTGATTTGCCGTTGATAATCACCACAGGAAAAGAATGCTGATGTCATGGAAACGCTAAGAAACCACGAAGACCTGATTCAGACGTATGCAGACCTCACTGGAATCGCAATAAGTCAAATTCCGGGGTCGCAAAGGAAGCTAGACTGCTCTCTTATACAGAAGGATGGCCAAGGTATGTCATGTGCATACTCTGATTAGGGTCAATGCAGATTAGAAATGTTCGGCTCGTAGAGTTCATAGCTATAAGGAATTAGAGTTCATTGCGTCGTACCTTATTTATTTAGTGTAAACCCTGCGTGGCTAATTCAAAACTGACTCAACTCTCTTTGTTTCTATCTCCGTGTGATTTTTTGCTCTATACTAGAGCTGGCGTTCACGCTGACTTGGAGCGAGGATGACAGTGAAATCGAGTACACGCCCTATGACTCGAACAGCTATGGAGCTAACATACAGGATTATCTGCAAGAGATCTTCGTGTTCAAGATCGAGATGCTCCGTAAATTCTTTCTCACACTATCTAAATGCTGCTAGCATATCAATTATGCGTAGGCACATTCTGCACCTGCCTGGCGACTTGAAAGGCCTTGAAGATTAAAGAAATATGGTTGTACCATCTCAGCTTATGACTATACTGTAGGAATTATCTCTTTTTTCTTTTTTTACTGATTGTTCTTCTTGTCTGAACCTCGCATGCAAATACGGACGCAACCCCGTGCTCCCTGAGACATCAGCGGCAGAAGAAAATTTCGCCATCTTCAACTAGTGTTGTACTTGAATGTTGTCCTTGTTTCATCAAGTCATCACTTTATACCTATCCGTGAATAACTTCAATGTCCATACACGTCACTTTTGCGAAAGCTTTCTAATTTTCAATCTCAAGAGTACGAGAGTAATCTACAGTCCAACTAGCTGGTTATTATTTCACAAGAAAAAACGTTTAAACCAACGCTCTGTCACGTTATAGTCAGGAAGACCATTATCCTGAGCAAGTCGTATACATTAAAATAAATCGGACGGAGGCCATATGCGGAAAGGCATTCACTTGTGCGCTCAACAACAATGAGTATTGGTGGTCTACGACGGGCCGAAGTTCACTGATTGCGGCCGTTTGCTTTTTCTGCTCTTTAATTCGCCTCTGCGACTCGTGCCTGTGGCGCGCTGGCATCGGCCTCAGCAGAAACTACAGCACTCGAAATAGAACACGAGTATAGCTTAGCTTATCGGGCAACGGAAAATCAGAGCACAAAATTATAACGGACGTGTGGAAATGGTTCAAAACGTATGTGTTGATTAACGGGCCACATAATTAAAGGCACAAAACTACAAAACTATATACTCGACAAGGGTAGCGAACCCTGGATCCATACCAGGAGTGTGGTCTGGCACGGCAGGAAAGTTTTCTGTTTGTGTTTCGCTGGACGCAGCAGCAGCTACTTCAGCCGCGTCTAGTTCATCCAAGGCTGCTAATTCCGCCAATACATCCTCTTCGTCTTGACTTGATAGTTGAGTGCCCAAGGCTTGTGCCACTTGCTGCGATCAAGAAACGAGCATATATGAAATACGATGCACTCTCCATTAGTATCACGAAGTGGTAGATAGCTATCATGGAAACAGCGAACTAATAAGGAAATTTGTTCGACTTACGTCTTGGTACGCAATTGCTTCCTCGTTCTCCTCCATCAGTTTATCTACATCATCGAGTGAGATTTCCTTGTTGATGGCTTCCAGAACCTCCTTACCCGCCTTCAGTCTTTCGAATACTTCTTTTTGTATTGACGCGAACTCCACATTTCCAATCTGTATCACAAAAGATATGTGCGTTTAATCACATTTAAATTGATATCGTAAACATAGGGACCCTTGCGTAGGTATACATGTCACGAACATGGCAATATAAGTAGGAGTCTGAACCGTTAATCGTATATCCCGCTATTACTAAATGGACATGAAAAAAAAGTGAACGGCAATTCCCGATTCAAAAGCTTGAACCCGAAAATGATTGAGTCTTACCATTTCCTCGATATTAGCATGCTGATTTTCCGCCTTATCCAACAATGACTGTTGATACTTCTTCTTCTTTAGAAAAAGAAGTGCCCTTTTTCTATCACCACTGGCAAGCGCTTTCTTCGCCAGTTCTTGTTCTTTTTCCACGCTTCCTGACAGCTGTAACGTTGGAAGCACATTAATAGTTGTCAACGTGAGATTGCACATTTGGTTGATTTTTTCTCTATTTCAAATACCCGCTACAACATAACCCGTATACAAGAAGGATGTAAACACAAATGGAGTTAATCTTACCGATATATTCTAGGATATGAATGCTGGCGAAATTAAATTCAGTGTACTAAACAAACCAGATGAGAGGCGTTTTCTGAGCATATGTAAAGATGAATGGTCATCAGGCTGGGCATATGATATACATAGCAGCGAAACACCACGACATATCATTCTACATCTCCTGACGAATGATCTTAAGATAATCTAAATAAAATACCCATATATATANATATATATATATATATATATATATATATATATATATATATATATATATATATATATATATATATATATATATATATATATATATATATA